GCGTGACGGCCGGACCTAGTGACTTGCTGTTGGCAAATACAATATGGTGCAAGTGATAGGGTATGGCTTCCAAGATCAAGTTCTAAAGATCATCACTTCAGCTTTGCCTTTTCTCTGGCTCCTCTTGCTTGCTGTCTCCTGTGGAGAGACCTATGAGACAAAGAACAAAGAGAGACCTCTGGCCAAGGGCACCAGGGTGGCTCAGTCGTTAAGCGTCTGCCTTCGGCTCCGGTCATGGTCCCAGGGTCCTGGGATCGAGCCCCGCATCGGGCTCCCTGCTCGGCGGGAAGCCTGCTTCTCCCTCTCCCACTCTCCCTGCTTGTGTTCCCTCTCTTGTTGTCTCTCTTTTTGTTAAAAAAAAAAAAAAAAAAAATCTTAAAAAAAAAAAAAAGACCTCTGGCCAAAAGCCAGCAAGGAATTGAGGCCTTCAGTCTCACAGTATGGAAGGAACTGAATCCTGCCCACAAGCACTTGAGCCTTCAAATGACTATAGCTCCTGGCCAGCACCTTGACCACAGCCTGCGAGAGACCCAGCTGAGCCACTCCCAGATTCTTGACCTGCAGAAAGTGTAAAATCATAACTATTGTTATTTTTTCCCCTTTTTATTGTTATGTTAATCACCATACATTACATCATTAGCTTTTGATGTGGTGTTCCATGATTCATTGTTTGTGCATAACACCCAGTGCTCCACGCAGAACGTGCCCTCTTTAATACCCATCACCAGGCCATAACTATTGTTATTTTAACTTGTTACATTTTAGGGTGATTTGCTAGGCAGCCGTAGATGACTAATGCATACACGAAGCTCATTCTGCACTTAGATCGGTGGCCTATTCTCGGATCGTCCAGTGAGGCAACAGAGAGTTATGGAGACAAAACAATGAAACTTGAACTCCAGCTCCTGCTGGGTAGAGAGGGGCCCTGGGGTAGGAGGACGGCTGCTGACCGTGACACACAGATTTTAAGGCTGCTGAGAAATGAAAGAGAATCTACCTGCAACGTGGAAACAGGAAGTCCACCATTTGTAGCCCTAAGACCAAAAGACCCGAGTGTGTCTAATCTGCCCGACAGGGGGGAAGTGGGAGGAAAGAGCAAAGTGGAGAGCAGCAGCATGAACACCAGGCGCAGCCTGCGCTGCACAGTGGGGAAGGGGCGCATCCGGGCTTTGAGGAGCACCAAGGGATCCTGGAAGAAAATGACGATGGTGGTTTCAGGGGAAATGTGAAACATGCTTAAAAAGAGATTTCTAAAATGTGATGCTTGGTAAGAAGTCAAACATCTCTAACAACCACAACCACAACCCCCACAGAAGAAGAAGCCTCAGCCTCCCAGCCTTCTAGGTGACTAAACTGTACTGGGTTTTCTGGACAATTCCATAGGCCCAACAGACAGGAAAGAGCGAGAGAGTCAGGGATGTGAGAGTCCATTCTTTGTAACTGGACAAAAACACTTAAAGACAATAAGAGTACTATTTATTGATCACGGCACGAAGCAGTTTATGGTTTCTTGAAACTTCATGTTTTGCCCCTGAGGAAGCTAAGCCCTCACAACCAAGGTGTGTGACTGGTGGAGCCAGCGGAAACCCAGGTCACTTGATTCCGAAGCGCGACCTTTACCCACGGGTGCTGTTGGCAGCTGTAACAACCGTGCAGCCCAAGGTACGAGCAATCCGAACAGGATGGCCCTTGAGCTGAGCCATCCTGGGGACCCTTGCTGGGCCATGCTGGCCGGATCGCGGGAGGCTAGCGCAGTGACCAGGGAAGGAGGGGACCCCACGGTTGCTCAGGTCACTGTCGATTGAGTATATGTTTATATACTAACCGGTCCTGCGGGCCTGTCCTTTGGTACTTAAGCATCCCATCAGATGTACCGGTGCAGGTGGGCGGAGAGCAGCTCTGTTCCCAGCCAGTCTGGTCCCGGGCCTCCTTTCTCTAGGGTCCTGTCTCCACTTGTCACACAAAGCCTGGACGTTTATTTCCAGCACAAACTGACTAAAAGTGAAGGAGAAACCAGACTGTCTGTTCCCTCGAGCATTTGTAGACAGACAACTTTTAAATAGAAGCACCCACATGGGATTCTAAAAGCTGTGCTGGCATGGTGAGCTCTGGTCGGAGATCCCTCTAGAAAGAGAAAACTCGAGTGACCGTCTTGTCTCGTGAAAAGGGGTGGGGGGTGGGATTTGGCTGTTTAGGGAAAAGCTGGTCTCTTCATCTCATGTAAAATCACAAGACCATGGTGTAAATTTAAAGTAGTCATAGAGTCGCCCTCCTCCAGCCTGGCTGGTTCATTTATGCTGAGTGCAGATTTGAGGAGGAAAGCCGTATATTTGGCCTTAGGCTGGGGGATGCCACTGACCGTGGAATAGAAAGAAGTGCTTCTCTACCCTAGAGTCACCCTCCAAGGATTTTGGTGATCGATCTGCGGTGTGGCCTGGCAACGAGATTAAAATCTCCCCCGATGATTGCCACGTGCAGCCCAGGGTGGGGATCACTGATCCAGAGGGATGGCAGGACATTTGCAGGGACCACAGTTTGAATGGAGTTTTGCCACTTACGAGTTGGATCGAGTAAATGACCAGATTAGCCCGGTTCGTTTTCCCAATAAGCCACCCAGGTGTTGGCCCAGCTTTTCCCCTCTGGTGCGTGGAGGGAACTGTGGTCTGGTCTTTGCGACTTGCCTCTCTGTTTTGTTTCCCCTGTTTGCACTTGAAGGGAGAATTAACGCTTTAACAACTTCTTTGTGCTTCTGTTTTATCATCCTCAAATTAAGAATACTACTCAGGGATCGGTAGCAGCTATTTTTGTCGCGGTCCTGCAGGGACATAGCTAATGAACCAGCCGGGGCGCTGGTGGAGCAGCATTTGGTGGCAAAAACTTGCAGAACCAGGGACAGTAGCAAGGGCGTGAAGCCCATTGCCTGGGGCACTCTAGCATGGCTGTGCCGGACACGGGAGAGAGACCCACACCCTGGGCTAAGCGAGAGGGTTAGGGAAGCCCAGTCCCCTCCGTGTATGAAGGTTCCTAGAGAACTGTAACATGACAGAGCAAAAACCTTCCTGGTTGTAACTGAGCTGATATATGCAAGAACACTTCAACAGTTACAACATTATACAAGGGAAGATGGAGTTATTGTAAGTCTCCTATGTTTTCATGCATACCATAGTCCTACACATCCTTATCATTGTTCCATGTTGGGATTTTCTGGGGCCATTTTCCAGATAGTGCAGTATACCATTTCTCAAACTTTCATGTGCATGCCAATCACCCAGGGCTCCTCTTAAAATGTAGATTCTGATTCAGTGATCTGGATGGGGCCTGAGATTCTGCATTTCTGTATTTTCAGCATCTCAGTGATGCTGAAGCTCCTTTTATAAAGAAGGTACCGAGCATTGTTCTAGTTGCTCTGTCTCAAGGCACACATTATGGCCATCAAACATTGCCCATTGCCATCTTTCTCTGGTGTATTGGCCTCCGTTTAGAGGGGCCAGACGAAACATGTATGTCCCAAACATACTTAGGTAAAAGTTTACTTCTCGCTTGTCTGAAATTCAAACGTAACGGGGCTTCCAGCTAAATCCGTCTACGCTAAACCCCACTAGCCTCTTCCCACTTGTAATCTGCTGCCTCTAATCTGTTGGGGCAGCAGGAGTCGAAAACAGAGCTTGAAATGAGAGCTGCCAAGTGTAAGAAGCCCTCAATTTTTTCCCCCCGTTTACACTTGCTTCCCCATCGCGTCACACCATCTCCATTCTGACCAAATCTGTTTCCCCAACTCCTCACTCCCGAGTTCTGAGACTCTGACACCCAGTTGCCTCCTCACCATCTCTGCCAGACTGTCTAGTGAGATTTCAAAACTAACATGCTCAAAGCAGGACTTCTTGACCCAACCCCTCCCCGGCTCTCCCTGGGTTCTACCAGTTTCTCCTCCCATAGCCTGCTTCCCCGTTTGTGGCACCAAGGGCCAGCAACCTAAGAGCCATTTGGGGTGATCTTTTCCACACACACCCCTTTCCAGTCCATCGACGTGGCCCTGGTGGCTCTCTCAGAACATTTCTCCAATCCATCTGTCCCTCTGCTAAAAAATGAAATTTCAGCTGAGTAAATTTCAAAGATCCTATTGACTTTATTCACTGATAGTCATGACTCATTGAATAAGCAGCATCTGTTCCAGCAAATAGAATGGATCTCCGAGAGCTGTGCGGTATGAAAGACGTTTGTAGGCCGAAGGGGGCGGGACAAGGAACTTCCTGGGGAGGAATGGATTGTTTCAGGCAGTCACCTGCCTTTGGTGGCTGGCAGGGGTCCATCAGGCCAGTTACTTCACTAGTGCTGACCAGGTTATTCTAGATTGACTGGCTTAAGATCCCACTCCCGGGACAGGCTGAAACTGTAAGTAAGCCAAGTGATACGTCTCGGTTTGGTGATGTGGGCTTCACACAAGTGACTCCATTTTGGGCCTGTGGCTCCCTTTGGCCACCTGTCATTCCCACTGCTAAAATCCCTGTCTAGGCAGTCACGCCCTCTTGCTTGGACTAGTGCACGGACTTACCTGGTCTAGAATCTCTTCTTGTTCCCTTGCCTCCCACTCCCCACAGAGCAGCAATCAGATATACCCTTCGCCTCCTCCCTCGTCAGTTGGCACACCCAAAACCCCATAGCAGTTCTCTGTTGGGATTATTGACTAGAAGCTGGTCAATCTCTCTGCAAGCGATTCCGAACTGGGGGTGATTTTGCACCCCCCACCCCGGGGCAATGTTTGGAGACACTCTGGGCTGTTATCACTAGGGGCATTCCTGGTACCTAGTGGGTGGAGACCAAGGATGCTGCTGGGACAGCAGCACGGATGCCAAAGAACGTCCAGTCGCAAATGTCAGTCATGGAGAGGTGGAGAAACGGTGGCCTGAGGTGAGTGGGGTCCCAGTGCTGAAGATGAAAGAATGAAGGACAGTTTCATGCCGACACACAGTGCTGCATTAATGAACACCTTCCTTCTCCAGCTTCCTGCAGCTGCCCCAAGGGGGACCGCTCCTGGCTGGACAGATGCAGCAAAAGACATCAAGACACTGTGCTGAGAGCCTAGTGAGCTCCCACCAGGTAAGCAAGCATTAAGTGGGATGCTTAGAGTTGATATAACATTGAACAAATGAAACCCTAGTAAAGCGTAAAACAACTGAAAACCAGAGCCACGTGTGCTGAAGGGCTGTATTTCCAGAGCTCCCAGGGGATGGCCGATGAAGGCCTTGCGCCAACGGGCCATACCGGCTGCCCAGAGAATTTGCAGAGAGCAAAGGCCTCTGATTTGTTCCCCCAACTGTTAGCTTTAAGTGAATCAACGGTAAGAAAGTTGCCTTTGGTGTCTCTTGACGATTAAAGGATGATGTAGGGAAAAGTGTTTTGATCTCTCACAAAAACCATGAAATTTTTTTTCTTCCATTGAAACATCTTTCCAGTAACATTTCAACAAATTAACAAGGGCAACTTCAAAATGTGTATTTCTTCCACCTTAAAAAAAACGTGACAGCAACTGTTGTTCTTTTCTACTTCATTAAGCTAAACAGACTTGAGATAAGGCCGGCCTTTCCTGCTGCTGAGTAATCCCATGGAGTATGAATAAAGCCACCGAAGAACTAATAGCTGCTAACGATCTCCCTCCACTAGCTTTCCTGTTAGCCATTTTTTCCTCTTAGCCATGTTCCCCCCTGCTGGGCAGGAAGCAGTCTGTGGCGCGGTTTACCAGAGAAGCCCCTCTGATCCCCTGTCACTTGATAGGCAAAACCCAAACCTGTACTTTGTCCAACAGGTCTCAGGAGCCCCACAGTAACAAATAGACGAAGTAACATGGCGGCGGTCCACGGGGATGGGGGCGGGGTGCAGAGGACTCCATGAGAGACACAAAATGGTTGCCTTTAGGAATCAGATATTTAGGGGTTTAGGATGGTGAAGGAGTTCTCAACTCTGGCTTCGTGTTAGAATCACCTGGAAAGTTTTTTTTTTTTTTTTTTAAAGATTGTATTTATTTATTTGAGAGAGAGAGAGAATGAGAGATAGAGAGCACGAGAGGGAAGACGGTCAGAGGGAGAAGCAGACTCCCCGCCGAGCAGGGAGCCCGATGCGGGACTCGATCCTGGGACTCCAGGATCATGACCTGAGCCGAAGGCAGTCGCTTAACCAACTGAGCCACCCAGGCGCCCCTCACCTGGAAAGTTTTTAAAAGTTCCGATGCCTGGGCTGGGCCCCACTCTCAGAGTTGCAGATGCAGTTGGCCTGGGGAAGGCCCAGGGCATTGAGATACTTTGAAAGTTTCCCAAGTGAGTCTAGTGGACACGGAGGGTTGAGAAGTACTGCCCTAGCCCAGGATTTCTCCACCATAGTGCTGGTGGTATTTGGGGCCAGATTGTTCTGTGCTGTGGGGGAGGCTGTCCTGTGTGCTGTGCGGTGTTTAGGAGCATCTCTGGGCTCTACCGATGGGAGGCCAGTAACATCCCCTCCTGCTGTTGTGACAACCAAAAATGTCTCCAGATATTGCCAAATGTCAAATGTCCCCTGAGGGACAGACTTGCCCCCCCCCCACCTCGCCCCAATCCCCTGCATTGAGAATCACTGTCTTGGCCATCGTGTGCAGAACGTAGTTCACTGGTGACCACACCGATGGTATGGTTGGGGGAGTGGGGGTGGAAGTTCAGCTCTCCGAAATAAAGATCTAAGGAATGAAAGAACTGTTCACGGTCCCATCCTCAGCCTCAAGGTGGGATCAGTGGTGCCTTCCATAACTCTACACTGAAATACCTTTCCTCTCGATTACAGACATACACAGACTACATTGGCTCTGTAATAAGTTATGGTCTATATATTGGATATACAAATCCATAGTCAAAATTGTCTGTGTGACATTAAAGATCTATCTCTGAGAGAAAAAGAAGACAATGCATTCCCTCTCTAATCGAGTTGTGTGTTCCCATAGGTGGCCACCTCCCCTCCATTCCCTGCTGCTCCCGGGATAACTTTCCCGATTTGGGGCCTCCAGCATCGCTGTCACCAGCCACCAGTCACATGTGGCTTGGTAGCTTTCAGCTTCAATTAATGTAAGGGAGATAAAAGTAGAAAGTCAGTTTCTTGGGCACACGAGCCACATTCCAGTTGCTCAGTAGTCAGGCATGGCTAGTGGCTACAGTATTTTAATGCTGCTAGAGAACATTCTCATCATGGCAGGGAGTTCTGTCGGACAGCCCCTGTTTAACCGTAGAGCTTCTGGTGACACTTTCACGCTTACATGTCCCTGCTAGTGCCCCACTGCTTCTTGGACCAGATTAGCTTGGCATTGAGGATGGTTCACGACATAACCGCAGCTGTCCCTTCTAGAGCCCCCTCTGCCCCTCTGTCTCCCGTGTACAGCTCACCACCTGATAGCAGAGACCACCACACTCTTCCACCTCCACAGCTCTCCCTGTGCTGTTTCCTTTGCCGCGAATGCTATTTCTCTAACTTCTTCACTAGGAAAACTCACTCTTGAGCCTCAGATTCAGCTCAAAGTCATCTGCGTACGGGTCTCTTATGCATAAGGCAGAGCTCCTCAAGGTCGAGGAGGGGCTCCCGTCCTCTTTGCATCACCGAAGGCTAGCACTGTGTGGGCACCCACATCTCAGGCAAAAGAATTAATCAACTAGCTAATGAACGAAGGCGGCATGATAGACACATTGAACACCACAGAAATCCAAGAACCCACACTTGGATGAAACTGATGGTGCCTCCTTGGGAGAAGAACATCTGCCTTTTATTTTCCGAGCAGAATGAGCAGATCTGGTGACTCCGGGCTCTTGGCTGGGATAGAAGAATAAATGCACTTAAAGCTTGTATCTGATGGGTTGATAGTCTCGGAGAGTAAGAAAGCAAAAAAAAGGGGAAATTTAGCGCTCTCCTATGAGGATTTCAACTCTTCTATCAGTGAAACAGAAATACCTCAAGAGAAAGAACATTTAAATAGTAAAAAACCAAACCAAAACCAAGGCAACAACAACAGAGAGGACCAGCTTAGCATTACGGCTGCACAGTGCTTCTGCCCTGGACTATTCTTAACTCTCCCTAAAGGATAGTTTGTCTCTAGTGCAGACCCCAGTGTTGTATCTCACACTTCCTTTCTTTTTCCCTCAGCACCTAACACGGTGTCCAGCACACAGCTGCACCTCCTCCAGGAAGCCTTCCTTGACTTCCCCTGACTACCCCTCTTCTGTGAACCGGAAACACCACGTATACTGCTTCATCATGTACTAACTTGTTTTACGTACTGTCTCTTTAATGTCACTATGTTTTTCCTCAGGTCAGAGACTCTTACTCTTCTTTGAGTTTTCATGGCTATTAAGAGTGTCTGACACTGCAATAAATCTTTGATAAATGAATAAACCTTGGCAGTGGACAATCCAGGTTTTAAAGGAGAACGACAGTATTTCTTTGCAATAGTTAACAGTATTAGTAGGAATTTTTAGAATTTGAAAGGAGGAGTGGGGGAAAATTTATGATTGTGAATTTTTTTGGATTTAAAAAAACTTTGGGTGGCTTAGTCGGTTAAGTGTCCGACTCTTGATCTCAGCTTGGGTCTTGGTCTCGGGGTTGTGAGTTCAGGCCCTGCATTGGGTTCCACGCTGGGCATGGAGCCTACTTAAAAAAATAAGTAAATTTGTTTAAAAAAACAAACAAACAAACCTTTGGCGTTACTTGGTCTGGATAAAGACACAACGATCATTAAATAATTCTAGCAAATAGAGACAATTCTAGAAAAAGAATCCATGCAAGATTCCTTTTAAACCTGTGGATTTCAATCCAATGAATAAATATTGAAGACTTGGGATGAGCAAATAACTCTGCCAAGAGAGAAAAAAGAAAATACTTCTGCCACTTAACATTTCATAATTCTGTGACCTTATTATTCTGAACACCTACGGAAGGTATTTTTAAACCTTGGCAGTCACATGGGGTAGATTTACATGAAGAACCAGGCATGATGGAGTCAGACCTTGCTCTCATCAAAGTTTCACTACGAACTGGTGCCAACGGGTCATTTTCAGATTCAGGCCATCGGTTTATGGCTTCACCCCAGAGTGGGCTAGACAATCACATGCCACCTGGCAGTTTTCAAGGTGCACGTTCTTGCTGTTTAATGTTCTGTCCCTTCCTCCGGCAGCCAGATGGTTAATCGCCCTTCCTTAAGCACACGCACATGCACAGAAAAGGTGTGAGGAAGGGCCCTGGGAAGGGGAGCCTCTCACACAGCCCTGCCGAGTCATGGGCTTGTCGACCCAACGATGGTGCCTGAAAGCCTTTTCAGCCACACAAAACCCTGGGCTTCTTCATTAGCATATCAGAGGTGGTGCAGTGGTGGGAAATGCCACGGGCAACAAAGGACACAGCTCAGTGGCATTTTGTCATTGGTGCTTACAGAAGCAGAAAAAATGATCTTCGGGCCAGGGCTGCTGTGATGGACAGATGTTGACATATTTTCTTGGGTGACCAATGTCTGCCCAGCACCCCGCCCTCCACTTGATCTGTACTCAAGGTTGCCCATCCCCCTCCAAGAGCACAGTTCCTGGACCAGTACATGAGGAAGAGCCGTGTCCCAGTCAAAACCTTCCTCTAGCTAAAATGAAGACACAGTTTCAGTTTTAACTTCATTGTGACTGGAAGGGACTTGCCCTTTTTTTCCAGACTTGAGAGCCTTAGCGGATACATGATGTGACGATAAATAGGAGAATCCGTTGCCAGTAGCTAATACCGTCACAGAGACTGAATCACTGTTTATGTCACCGAAACTCTTGTCAGGAACCTGCCATCTTATCATTTCATCCTGAAAGGGAGGAAAGGCGTTTAGTGACAAAGTAATTTCACATTCTCAATGTTAAGTGATTTCCGTTCTGTGATCTATACTTTCTAGCCGTGGTTCTCAACCGGGGGGGATTCTGCCCCAAGTGGACACTGGGCAGTGTCTGGAGACATTTCTGGTTGTCACAAATAAGGGCTGTGTGTGCTACTGGCATCTAGTGGGTCAAGGCGAGGGATGCTGCTCGGCATCCAACAATGCACAGGACGGCCCCGCGTGACAAAGA